CACCACCACTGGTTGGCCCTACAATCTTAATAACTTTTTAATACATTGACTTTTCACTGGGGATGATTTTGCCCTCCATAGACAATGTTCATAGACATCTTTGATTGTCCAGAGACATCTTTTATTGATAATGTCCATAGACATCTTTAATTATCACAGCCATGAAGGTGCTACTAACAGGGATCCTGTCAAATATTTTAAAGATGATAAGACCACTCACACCCCAACCAATCAGCTCTGAATTCTAACAGTACTGAACTTGAGAAGCTCTGCGTTCGTGTTAGGACCATAGAATTGATCTGAGGATCTTCCTATTTCTTTTCTTTTCTCTCTTTTTTTTTTTTTTTTTTTTGGAGACGTTTTTGCTATAGGGCATGTGCACTTGCCAGAAAGACAGAGAGGGACAGAGAGACAGAAAGCAAGAAATCATCGCCACCCCCCCAGAGGGGATGGCCACACCACAATCCCTTCTCCTCCATTCTCCTCTCAGAATCTGGGCATGCACACACATGTACCCAGCATGAGTTTAAGCCACCAGGTCCAGGATTCAAACCATGGTCGATTACATGAGAGTTCAGCCATTATGCTAACTGCTGGTCCTGGATCTTCCTATTTCTATTCTCCCTCTTCTCTCACCCAGTTGATAATCTTCCTGCAGCCAGAATCCTCTGTAAACATAGATCTGATCATGTCTTAAAGATCTAATGCTCTTAGAATAAAGACAAAAATTCTTTTTTTAATTTTTAAAAGTTTAATTATTTATTTACTTTACATTCATTCACTGAACATCATCACAGTATACAAAATGCGGTTTCTCATCCAGAATACACTGTATAGTGGCTTAGTCAAACATGTTATCAGCAACAAATAATTTTGTGTTGCCATTTCCCACCCTCCTCCCACTCTATCTCTGGTATCTGCAGTTGCTTTACATTCCTTTTTTTCTTCCCACATTTTATTGGTTAACAAAATATCTTAATTGATCTAACTACTTTCAATAGTAAGTTCAGCTGATATATAAATATCTGTAAACAAATGTTTGACTTTAGGCATGAAACTAAGTAGAATAAATATACTATAAAATAGCACCTAGCTGAGGCTATATAGCTTACTGTGGTCATTAAACAGGTATTTTTTACTATATTTTTTAATTTCAAGAAAGGCAGTTTTAGTTTAATAAATCAAAATAAAAAATTGTTAAGAGAATTAAGCAATTAAGACTTAAAGCCAGTATGCAGGTTAGGATTCTGTTCAAATAGTAGTTACATGGACCTGTCGACAATTCAAGAGAAGACAAAAATCCTTATCTCTGGACTACAAAGCATAGAAAAAGATCAGCTTTGTTTTAGTCAAAAGCTGTAAAATTCTATTTCATCAGCTCAGTCTCATGTACTTTATCTTCTATTGTGGTCCAAGATTTCTGCTTAAATTTTGAAAGATAATATTCGACTCTGGACTTGTCCCTACTATTAACTTGGACATTTTCTCAGATGTTTTTTATCTCTCATTTCTGTGTGTCTGACTTTAGTTTTACTGATATAGCACTTCCTTGAGAACTTCTTGAACTGGTCTGGTGTTGGTAAATTCTTTCAGGTTTTGTTTATCTGAGAATGTTCCTGTCTTTTCTTTCCATATGAAGGATAATCTTGCTGGGTATAGTATTCTTGGTTGAAACTGTCTTTCACTCAACACTTTGAGTATATTTTCCCATTCTTTCCATGCGTGCATTGTTTCCTATGAGAGGTCCACTGTTAGCCTGATGGGGTATCCTTTGTAGGTAACTCATTGTTTCTCTTTCATAGCCAGTCTTAGTACATTGTCTTTGTGTTTTTGGTCAATCTGGCTATAATGTGTCTTGGAGAAGATCTTCTTGGGTTGATTCTATTTGGGGTCCTATGTATTTCCTGGGTCTGGATTTTTGACTGTCTCTAGGTTTGAAAAGTTTTCTTCCAAGATTTCATGGAATATATTATCAATGCCCGTATTAGTCACTTCACCTTCTGGGATACCAGTTACCCAGTTGTTTGGACATTTGATGGTATCTAGTATTTCTTGTGTATTATTCTCATTTTTTTTTTTTGGACTATTTTCTCAGTCTCTGTGGTGGATTTTTCTAGGCCAGTGATTCTGTTTTCTACATCTGAAATTCAATCTTCTGTATGATCTAGTCTACTTTTAATACTTTCAAAGGAGGTTTTGATTTCCTGTATTACAGCCTTCCTCTCTAAAACTCTGTTTGATTCTTTTTTATGGTGTGTATTTCCTCTTTTAGATCATGCAAAAATTTCCTCACCTTCTGGGACTTCTTGGCTCTATTCTCTTTCTTTATCCATTGTCTCTCTTCTCTTGCATCTCTGTCAGCTTTGTCACTATGAATATTCTAAACCCTTTATCAGACATTTCTCCGAGTTCCATTGTACTGTCTGTGAAGAAGAGTTATCTTTTCCCTTAGGGGAGGGAGATATCTTGGTTTCCCATATTCCTTGTGCCTTCGTAGTGACTTCTAGTCATATGATAGGTTATATGATTCTTCCTAATTTCTAGAAATTCAATCTGAGCATTCAGGGATGAGAAAGAGGAAGTGATCTGCAATCTCTTTGCCATTCCATTTTTAAAAATCCCTTTATGTAGCAGATTCAATGGGAATTGAGGATCATGTTGACCGTAATAGTATTCAGGGTCAACATGTTGGATGTTTGGAGACAGTTCCCTTAGATCTGTCTAGACACTCAGTGTGTGGAGGCTAAGCATCAAATTGATGAGGGAAAAGAAAACAGAGAAAGAGAGAGAAAAAAGAAGGAAATAAGAGAGAGGGGAAAAATTAGTGTTATTTTTTAAATGCAAAATATAACCATGTGGCCCACTCATTCTCAGCTGCAATGGAGGAGTCTTCTTTTAAAGGCCTGTCCCTGGACTCTCCTAAAGGGGAAGATGAAAGGGGATTATTTGCAAGATAAAGGAGGATCTGAAAGCCAAGGAAATACTTTACCTTAAAAAATTTTTTTAAAAGAAAAATTACCTAAAAATGAGGATAAGAGAGAGGCAGAGAAAGACATACCACTCGAGACTGGGGGCTGAAGGCTGAATTATCAGTAGACAATCTTCATTTCTTTTATTCCCTGAAAACACTAGTTCTCCAAAGGCCAAAATTCTTAAGTTGGCCTTCAACTGGCCCTTGGTTCCTTTACTGTCTTATCCTCTTTTCACTCTCTGCTCCAACCACAAAGCCCTTCTCAGTTCTTCCAATCTGCTGTCCTACCTTAATACTTTTACAAAAGCTGTCTGTGCTCAATCTATCCCCTCCAACTCTGACCACTCATCATCCTTTGACCTTCAATGGAAAAGAGAAATGTGCACAGAGACCATCACTGACACCACCTATTCAACTATTTTTAAAGAACAAATTATTAGATGACACTTGTTGAAACACAGTAAGGCTTACTTTATTCAAGACCATCTTGACAAGTATAGGGATCATGTCAATGGGATTTTGAGTACAGGAGAAAGATTGGGTTCCGTTGCAAAAACACCATGGACAAGTGGGAATCTGCAGTCCAAGAACAGGGTTGCGGGAGTGGGGGTGGGGTGTCAGTGGATGGAAAATTACTAAAACAGAACAGCAGGTAAGTGGGATTTTGGCTAACCAGCCTAACAGAACTCTTGTTGAAGATGAGCTAGGATTATCAGACAATACGTAAGGGATGTTAGAGGAAGAGGAACCTGATCAGATATGGAGGATGAGTAGTTATTGAGGGGAGGGAGGGTTGGAAGAGTTTCTTGCCAAACTGACTTAGCAACATTTCTGGCTAAAACTACAATAGATTTTACAAGGAAGTGCACAGATGGGCTTAAGAAAAGTCTCAGGAGCCTGAGTGAAGTTTAGCCAAGCAGAAAATCTTTGTCTTTAGGTGAGAATCCCAACACAGGCAACCAGAATATCACGTTTCTTTTCTTTTTAAAGAAAATTAATTTCTTCCATGACCGGAGCCAGAAAGGTGTACCCGCATCAGGTCCACTCCCAGCCTCAGCCAGCCCCAGATCATCAACACCCTTACCTGCCAAACTCAGAAAGGTCTCCGAATGCAAACCGGAAACTTCGAACGGGGGTCCACCTTACAGAGCCATGAGTTCTACATCTGTGCCGCTGACTCACCCCTCCTTCTTATTTTAATCTGCAGTTCTATATTCGTGTATTAACTGTCTATTTTCTCCCCCTGACCTTCGTCAGTCTGTAAGTTCCAATAAGGAATAAATGTTATCTTTTTTTGCTATTTTATTCTAAGTGACTAGCACGATGCACCAACACTTGGGGGATGCTCAGTAAATATTTGTGAAAGAGATTAAGGAGAGGTGGAGAGGTGGCCTGACAGAAAGGAGAGACATACAGACATGGGGCGGGGTAGAAGATGGGAGTAGAGGGGAGGGTAAGAGAGGGAGACAAGGAAGAGCACAGCAGAGAAAAAGGAAAAGCAAGGACAAGCTGCTGGCCACCGTGTCAGGTTAGTTCAAGAAGCGGCTTGCTCTCTTGAGGCAGCAGAGGGTACATTCGAAAGAATTACACGGTAATGAAGGGCCTGAAGCTCTGGGATTCGACTGGACCAGGATTATGAGTCCCCGTCCTTTTGTTCCAAGGCAAGTTACTCTCTTGTCCTCATTTTCTTCACCTTTAAAATGGAGTTGGTGTCAAGATTAAATACGAGCAAGGCGCTTGAAACAACGCGTGGCACAGGTTCGGCGCTCAAGGTTAAGGTGGCGATCGACATTTGTCAACACTGTAATAGGTGCCGGG